AATCCTTAACTCTTGAAAAAGAGTTCACACAATCACTCTACGTGAGAAGAAGCTGACATTTGTATTTTCCAGCACTTGGACAAAAATGGAATTCTGAGGTCTCATTACCTTTGAATTTGACTCATAGATTCCTGTGAAGAGGACAAGTGAGCAGAATACAGTTCATCAGTGGTGTTATGAGCTGCAATTTTGAATTTTGAACTCGTCAGGGCCCTACGTTAAAAACTCAATGTAACTGGTTACTTCAAGCAGAGATAAATTTAGAATCAGGGCAGGGGAAAAAGATCATCTTAACTTAGATTAGCATAAAAGAGAAAAAATGCCCCATCACTGTTGATGGAATGCATATTCTATCAAAACTGCAGTCACATTCTGTTCTATTGAGATTAACTTTACCTGATGAATATTGTGAAATTTATACCAGTGGCCTATGACCACCATATATCAGCATCCGACCCCTATCTATATAAAACAATAAGCATGAGCTTAAGGCTGTCTTAAAGGCTGTCTGAGAGATGTATATTTACTGACATATAACCTGACTAAAGCCAAACATCATTACCCCTGTGACTGATTGGAGGGCAGCCATAACTTAACAGTTTTATTTCCCTTCTACAGCTGAGCTCCTTGACCATGCTAGCTGAGCTGACACGGCATTTCAAGTCTTGTTACCAGCTCAATGGTTCTCCTATTAAAAAAAAAAAACAGGAGTGGAAGAGCTAAGAAAAGGCACCTCTTCATTTAGCCTCTCCATCTTGATCACTGCTGATGGGCTATCAATAATTTCAACTTGATTAGGCAGCTGGCTGAAGGTTAAATAAATTCCGCCTGGCTATTTGCATGATCGTACCTGGATTCGATAATTTTAATTGGAAGGAGATTTCTTTTTGGCTACTCCCTGGGAAGTACTTATGGAGTCGCAAAACAGAATTAAAGTTGATGGAGTAAAGCTTCACACTTCAAAAACTGTGAAAGGGAATTTAAAAAGATACTGAAGTCCTCATCCTTCTGTTTAAAACCTAATGTATATACACATACATATATGTATGTATACATCCATACACCAATTTAGATGAGGAACAGAAGTCATCAGTCCTGCAGTCAAGAAAGATTTTACGCAATTGCTTTAGCAGATTGTTTTAATCTAAGAAAAGCTCTCCCACTGATTCATGAATGCATCATGATTTTAAATGAAAATAAAATGGGCCATGCCTATTGACACCAAATTATTAACCTGATACAAAACTACCCATGTCTCAACCAGTGCGGATGCCTATCTGTTAATAATGCATTCTGTGAACTCAGCATTCCTCAAACTTGTGTCAGTTTTAAGTTGAACTATTTACTTACAGGGAATATTCCTGTTGTGTTTCTTTTTTCTGTACAAGAAACTCAATATGAATCACATACAAACGTTTTCACGTTTACCTGTATTAAGGCAGTTTTAGAACAAACACACTCTTGGCTCCTCAAATTCAAGGAAAAAAAGCACTGAAACTACTCTTAATCAGAATATATTTTGACCTAAATTGCAAGCAGTGCTTTTTTTTTTAAAAAAAAAAGAGGGAATCATGGTTATGTTTTGCAAGCTCATACATAGCTGCTCTACTCCATTCAGTTTAAGTGCGTAGTCTATTTCTACATGGTAGTTGATTTTTCATGATCAGATTCCTGCACTTTCAGTAGTTTGCTACTAAAAGGTAATGAGGTAAGTTAGAAAGAAGTAGTCAGATTCAGATCACAAATCTCGACTGCAACAGCACGCACGTGTATAGTTACCCCACTCAGCAAGTGCCTCAACAGGCTTCATTCACCCTGCTTGACATGCAGGATCCCTGGTACCTACAAATAAAACATCTGAGGTTTCAAAAAAACCTGAGAAATAGTACAAGCACAGCACGTGTGTGTACAAGAAAGAGTGTGAAAAGATTTGGGAAAGTCCTTATGCATTTTCAGACACAACTGGAAAAAGCTCTGAGTAACCTGATCTGATCTCAAATGAGCCTATTTTCATCAGGTGACAATGCTATGGAGGTCCAGAGCGTCATTCCAGCAGCAGCCTGGGCTATCCTACAGTCATATGACTCTCAATGATTTCTCAGACAAATCTTGTCAAATCTTGCATCGGTTAAGGCTGATGACAGAACTTGGATCCTAAGGCAACAAATTCCAGGACTAGAATTTAGCCACCAGCAGGTTTCATCCCACTGAATGATAAATCAAGGTGGATTTCTAACATCTTTTTTTATCCAAAAAATCAAATATATTGAAAGAATTTGAAAGTCAGTTTCTTTTAAGAGAAGACCATTATATGAGCAGCAGCAGATCTCACGCAGAACACCACATAAATATCACGTTATCAAACAAGAAATGTAAATTATCATACATACTCCATAATTGAAAAACGTATTATACATTAGTGAAGTCACCCATTTATCTAATCATAATCAGTTCCAATAAAATGTCATTTAGGAAAGTTGAGAGTCGTTCAGGCTGGATGGTTAAGAGGATATCAGTTATGTGAGTATGTACTGAAACAGTTTTGAAAGCTAGTTCTCATAAGCAGAAATGCAGTTATTGCATACCTCGTATGAAAGAAACTTACACTGATGCAGACTAAAAATGTGGCATTCAGAACTAGGAAAAGAAAAATGAAGCAAGTAAACCAGATAGCTATTTTAAATAATATTTTTAGGAAACTTTTACTTAAGATTTTACATTTGCAGGAAGTCATTAGAAGAACAGCAGTGTTTAATACTAACAAGAGATGGTTCAAAAATGGAGAAAAACACCACGATAAATCATTTGAAGATTCTGATGAAGTAGAACTTGAATCCAAACCTCTCGTGCTTGGTTTTGTAGATCTGAACTCTCAGAAGGAAAAACTGACAGACTATATGTACACAGGTCTCTTACATAAAGGAAGTAAAGCATAACCATTTTCAATCACTGCAACCCCTCTACTGTAGAATCTCTAAATAAAATTGCCTCCAGATACGAACTTCTAAGCATTTTTGATTGAGCTTGTTGATGTAAAAAGACATGAAACAGCCTAATTTTGCTAACTTTCCAAACAGCACATCATTCCACCTGAACTGCAGCAAGATTTGCTCTCCCAGTTTCAACAAAAACGTCAGTGACTTAATCTGATGGTGAGCTGCAAGGACAGAACGTACATCAGGACTACAGCTAAAGAAGCGTTTCTTAGTGAATACTTAGTATGGTACCACTAACCTCATCTGAAATTAACATTAATTATTTTCTTTCCTGTTTATCCACTTATTGTGCACAGCTGCTTGCCTAATCACTCGCACAAACTTATCCTAACCTATGGATTATTTATTACACACCCATCACTCTCCAGGCAGTGGTGATGTAAGCTATGTTCTCTCCTCCACTCGTGTTCCAAAATCCTAGCTTTTTATATGGCTACTCTGCATTCCATTGTGAATATTCACATACATAGATTATTTAAAATGAGGCACAACAAGGAAGAAAACACAAGCTTGATACACCCTCATTACATTTTCGGGTAATTATTTGCTAAGCTCCAAATATAAACCTCCCTCAAATACTGCTTTTACCTCCGATTTTTTATATTGCGGCATATTTTTCTTCAAAAAATCCAATGGACTCTGGATTTATTGAAAAAAGCCATGTAAAAAAACCCAAACATTTGGACTATCCTGTTCTTACAGGTGTAGCGAGCCCTGATTTGCTCTGCTTTGGTTGGCTACGTGCATAGCCATATAGCACATGCAGTTCACTCAACTTCAATAACATGTTTGTAGACTAGGTCACTCAGAGACCTGCAATATTCAATTTGACAAAGGGTGTGAAAGACCTCACATCAACCTGCGAACATTGCTCACAATGAGAACTTTAGCACTTTCACAGTCCCTAGAGAAAATTCATTTGCAGTCTGAGCAGCATGAAAACAATATTTCATTCAAGAAAAATAATTTTACATTAGAAGAATTTTCAATGAAGTTACATTAGAAGCTAAAACCTGCTCACTGTTCTCCCTCCCCAGTTCAATACCACCTACCTTAAAACAGCAGTGAAGAATTTTGAAAGACTGGACTTTTGCCAGCTTTGTAAATGAGTGGATGTGATTTAGTTCATATTTTCAGACCCCTTATTAAATACCTCCCAGTTCCATCTTGCCTAATATTTGATCCAGCAAGTTTAATGACCATTCCTTCATTAAACATTACAAGATTTTTAAGACCTTGGCAGTGCTGCATTTCATTCAATAACCTAGTGCTGCTACAAAGTCAACACCGAGTGCCAACTTAATCCCTCGTGTCCACTAATTACGTCCAGCGCTGTAGCTTCACGGGTGAGCTTGAATCACTGGGGAAGTGCAGGATTTCCAGGCCAATGGATTCAGCACTCCAGCTATATCTCATGCCTTGACACTAGATGTCAGCGAAGGGTAATTGTTATCTCAATTTAGAGGCCAGCCAGGTAACTACTAGCAACCTCTGTTAATGTTTTATAGCAAAGGTGAAGTATAGCTTAATACAAGCATCTGACATATATTACAATAAAAAAGAATATAGTTGTCTAGTGTTTTTAAAGTCAGCCGTAAAAGATGAATAATGACACAGTTTAAAGCTAAAAGACAGCTGCCAAGCTGAATGGCCATGATCGATGTCTAAACACCCAGTGTGGAGAAAACCTGTTCCCTAGAGACCACCATCCAAAAAATTAATTACTGCGATTCAGCATCTTTAAATGTGCCACTTAATATACTGCCACCATAATTAAATTTCCAGCCCTGTGACCTTGAGACCATTTCCTGAGATAATAAATGAGATCAAGGTTTAATCGATGCAGATGCAGTGGAAGCTGTCCGAGGAAGCACAAAACCATCACGATGTAGTCAAGGTCAGGAAAGAAAAACCAAGCAAAGCTGCGAATCAACACTAATTGCTTTCTTATGATAAAAGATGTTTATTTTAATTTGCTTTATTTGCAAACAATAGTTCCATCGTGGTACTCTGACAGCAGCTTTTTAAATTCTAGCCACATATGAAGTCAGCAGAGGGCATATTTTCTTCCTTGTAGATAGCACTTTTTGTGGCTAATGAAGCCATATTCAGTAACACAATGAGATCAGATAGCCAAGCTCATCAAACAATATGAAAAGAAGAAAAAACTGACTGTTTCAGGCACATTCCTTCCCTTCTAATGCAAGAAACCAAAAGGTAGGAGAGATTTTAGTAGGGAGGTGGAGATGTGAAAGCTATTTCATGTCCTTTTGAAGTATGAGTGGCACAACAGATGTGGTCTGAGTTCTGCTGCTGAACTTCACCGACTACGAAATCAGACACTAAAGGTGAACAGAAAGCTACAAAGCAAATGAGTTCGTGGCTAAAGAAAGCAGAGCTTTTAGAAAGGCTGTATGCTGGCCAGAATTTCTCATGGCATCATTTAACCTCTTCCAAGATGGCTTCCGAAGTCCCAATGTTCAACCTGAAATAACAAAAGGATGTCTATAGAAGTAACATCTTTGTTACGCTGCAGTGGTTACATAGTTAACTACAAGTCTGAGCATGAATTCTCTTTACAGTACAGCAGCCATTACTCAACTCAGTAAGGCTGGCAGTTCACTATCACAGTGTGCCAATTACATTTTTAAGCATTGTTTACATTTAAAAAATCCGGAAGAACAGCAAATAGTGCCCACCTACATTGCCCACCACTTCTCCAACACAATGCAGTAATCTCAGAGCAAGTTCAATGATATCACTGCTCCATTTAAACAGGAGATCCCTGAATAAAATTTAATTTGCATGTGCCTTTTTACTTTTTAGATAACTCCAGGCCAAATAAGTTGCATTTGTTTAATGCACAAGACTTCCTCTAATTCTATTATTTTTAGTAGTAGAATACAGAGAAGGAAGCAGGACTCATTAAGCCCAAACTGAATACTTACGGACCAAAGTACAGAAGTCAGGCACAAAGTACATGTTTGAAGGACTGTTCATGCAGTTCTAACCATCTCAAGGACAGACCACTTTTCCCTTCAAGTCCACTCATAGATACAACCTGTACTTGAACATCTCAGTTTTCATTTGAAACAGAACTCATTTCTGCAGTGAAGTTCTTCCCATTGTGCAGTGCCACCATTCTGCATTTTCAGTCAAATCAGTACTCTGATCTGATAAAAGAACCTTAAGAGAGAAGCAATAAATTTCACTGTAAGATGCATCAGTGCTCACCTGTATCACTGTGAATGATCCCAGTAACTCAGCTTTTTCTGCTCATGCCAAAAAATGACTCATTTTCCAGGTCACATCTGAAAAGTTCCGCACTGTCCAGTGACAACTGCTACAACTAGTAAACATGGTCAACAATCGACCATGAAATAACAATGCTGGAAAACAAGTGAAATAAACCATGCTTATTATATAACAGCACTAACTAATACAAGGAAAAAATACCTGATGATTTCAATGCCATGAATTTTCTTCAGTGTATGTCAAAATTTCATCACATCACAGAAATACACCACTGGTGGTCTTGCTTAGATTCAACAGTCAGAAAACAATGGAATCAATGTATTCAGCTATCTTGAGACGAGTGGTTCCCTGACAAATCATCTGTGTTTTATGTTTTAAACAGAAAAATATATAAAAACAGGTTCTCTTCTGGCTGCTGTAATTTTAAGTGAAATAAGCATTACTGCAATTCTCATGCACTTAAGGAGTTGAAGCAAAAGGCTCACTACAGCTGGGTCAAGTCTCTTTAATCATGTGCTGTTGAAAAAAATCAGAACTAGGTGACAGCAGGATGAACATGCTTTTAAAAAATAAGATTTTCCTACCTGTCTGAAATCAACCTTGTACAGAAGCAAACTACCTTTCATTTCAAGGCATATGACAAAATAACGTGTGGAATAAATTCATATTCTTGCCCATAGAACCTCAGAGCTGTAAAAAGCATGGAAGTAATCTAAGAGAACAGAGGGATGAAACTGTGAAACAATATAGACAGTGCATCTTTAATAATACTATTTGGACATAATTTGTTGTTGCATAATTACCTGTTTTACAGTCTCTATCAATCCAGTCAACGTAGGATTGACTTACGAAGCACTGTAAATTCCAAGGTTAAAACGCAACCGAGAGACGTCTGAAAATAACATCCCAAGCAAATCAGTGGGGTTGGGGTTGTAGACCCAAGTGGCGACCAAGACTGCAGAGAATCTCAAAAATCACTCCCCAAAAGCAGGGCTAATGTAAAAAAATAATAATAATAATAATTAAAAAAAATTAAAACAAACACAGAACAGTCCATAACAGTCCATTAACTGCCAGAGACTTAAGACTGCAAGGTAGAAAAGAGCTCATAGGACATATTAAAAACTAACTAAAAATCCTCTCCTCTCCCCCAATCCCACCCCACTCCAGAAAAAAAAACCCAAACTAAAAAGGCACAAAAAACAGGTGCTGGATGCTGCTGTGATGTAACATTAACTTCACTGAATGTTCCCAGAGATAACTGTATGATCAGGACGTGTTTTCAGAACACATCACAGGACTGTGCCATACAGAGACTCAGCATTCACATTAATCCCATGCATGTGCATACACGTTTGTGAAACCTGAAGAGGAGACTTTGGGTATGATCCAGACAATTACTTGCTGGTCCAAAACTATCAGCTCTCCCTTGAGAACAGGAAAGTGTCAGTAAAACAGTCATCACGTCTTCAAAAGAATGCAACAAAATCACCTTGAGGACATAATTTTGAAGTTACAGTTCTGAAAGATAGTTAATAGCACCCTGGTGAAACAAACAAGCAAACAGCAACAAAAAGAAAGATACAGTCTCAAACAAACTCTTCCTGGGCATGGAGATAAACAGCAGTTTGTTTGATTTAGGCTGAAACAACATGCTGAAAATTAAAAACAACATTTGTTGGAACTTGTAGTTGATCTGCCTTCAGACTGATGAAATTAAATAGGGAATAAAAAAATTCTACTTAAAGCTTCCAAAAATCTACATGAACTTTTGACTATATTCTTCTCTCTGTAGGTTAGCTGGGAAATCCACTCTTCCCGAGGTGAAATGTTTCCCCCTTGTCATTCTGTACTTACCCATAGGACATTTAGGGAATGGAAGTAGAGGAAACTAATGTCCTCTCTTATCCGACAGGCTTGTGTTTGTAAACAATGCACTGTTCTAACGCCATTCTCAGTAAGAAGTCACTGCAAGCCAGATTCACTTGCATAACAACCGCCACAGAGAGCCACTACCAGCAGTTCTCAACTTTTCTTATTAAAAGACCCATTCAAATGCATCAAGACAACCTGGAGGCTACTGCTGATAAGAACAACGGGCAGTTTCAAAGCAGAACAGGCAACACCTCAATTACAAATTTTTACTTCACATTTTTTGCTTAATTTGGCCTCTTTGTGATAAACAAGATGTTTTACATGTGCCTACTAGGAATAATTGATAGTTCATGATTCTACGTGTTATACTTGTTAAAATATTTGCATTTAAAAGCAAAGTTGGACTTCTAGCTCTAGGCGGTGTATATATTTTTCCTAAGGAGTCTCAACTAGAAGAAGCATTTTGAATTATAATTGTCTTCCAAATCTTAAATTAAGAGAGACAGAGCACTGTTAACCCTTCACTTAGATCACTTATTCATGTGAAAACAAATCGTGATTTAGAAAAGTTGGGTAGCAGCCTGCTGTACTCACTTAACACCTCCTGTATATGCGATCAGTAAGATTAGACAGATGAGTAAAGATTACTTATGCCACCAAGGGTTGGAAGATCAGGCCATAGGTAATTATGGTATTAGAACACAACATGCACTTTATGGGGAGATCAATTTTATAGTTAAAAGCTTTATAGCTTGAATCAGAAAAGCAAATTACTTTAAACTTTGCAGAAAATAGTAATAGATCATGGAAGAAGTCCTGTGCTCAGAACACTTGCTGAACTTCTCACACATTTCTTACCTTAAAAAAAAGATGGGATTATGGTACTTGATAACATACCCACTACAGTGATACACAGCTGTTTTGTTTTACAGTTGTAAGTCTAACATTTGAAGGCTAAGACTTTCAGAAATGACTTGTTAGTGTTCCATTAGTGTCTCCCTTTTGCAATGTGCATGTTGAAACATCAGGAATACAGCTTTTCAAGAGGCTGAAGTGACAAATCTATTAGTTTTCCATCTTTCAGACTCTTCTAAACTAACTGAAGCTTAGTGCCACAAAACTAGAGTAAAATCATTAGTTGCTTATCAACATGCAGCTGATTTTTTTCATTTTAACACCTGATAGCAATGAATAAACACACAAAGTATCAGGATAAACCCACAGCCTAACTCACACTCAATTAAAATCTGAGCATCATAATGGCTGTTCTGATGTTATGTAAGGTTACAGCTTTTTGTAACGGCCTTCATTTGAAGCATGCACATGTGTACATAGGCATGAGATGACTCCTTTGTGCACAGCACAAGACTGTTGAGAAAGTCGTACGTGACGTTCTGTGCCCGGTTCTGAGGCAGGCAGCTGCATTCCAGCGCAGCAGCATTTGCTAAACCTTACAGCAATTTTCAGCAGCAGAACTCTCTTCCTTGCCACATTTGCATTTCTTGCAGCAGGTTTTGCACCAAATCCCAGCTCTTTTTACCTCTCTTTATTATCACCTCTTGCTACAGTAAGAAATAAGACAGGGGAAAAGCAGAAAAACGGGCTGGACTTCTTCCTTCTTCCCAAGGGAACCACTTTCTGGAGCAGAGGTAAGCAGTTGTCACATCTGTGACAGTTCTGGACTACTGGATGCCTCTGTTTGTGCTTCACTATCATCTCCATTATGAGTCTTTATGTCAATCTAGGCAGAGGCTACCAACAGCTTCAGTGTTACAAACTAGTACAACTAGAGTCTAGGTAGGAGTTGTGTTAATGCACTGATGCCATTCTATTCTGTCCTCTATTCTGCAAAGCAGTGAGATACGCCATATAATTACATGCTTTTCTATTCACCAGAAATTAGTGGTATTAAGCCTTTCACATGGCAAATGAAGCCTGTAGTATTAAAAATAACAGATTCTGTACAGTTAGTAAACATCAGCTAGAAAAAAAGTGAGGATGAAGTAATAGCTTGGCAGTTGCAAGGTGTCAGTTCTTGTGTAGCCACAGCAAGATATTATTTTGTAAGATTATTTTGAGGCATCCTGGGGAAAAAAAACCGGAATCAATGACATAGCTTGTAATATCATTCTTTTGTCAAATAAAGACAGAAATGTATACATCAGGTACTACTTCCAACCGAGGGACTTAGCAGCAGCATCCCAATTAAAAAAAAAAAAAGGAAGCAGCTTTAATTAGCTTTAAAATACTTAACTGTCCTTGATAAATATGGGCACCGACACGTCTTGCTGGAATTACAGACTTTTTATTAATAAGTTCCTGCTCCACATACAGCACTGAAGATGAGAGAACTAAGTACTTATAGTGAAACAGTAGGGAGGCTTATTAAATCAATACACATCTGTTAGATAATGGGCTCTGAGTCAAGAATGTTATTCCGAAAACCTCTCAGCAAATCTTTGCTTGTTTGGCAATGTTTTCCTTAAGCTATTCCCTCTCTGAAGGATTCCCTCCAGAGCTGACCATCTATTTTGTACTTTTTAGTTCCAAACATCTCTGCCAAACAGAAAGGATTATCCAAAAATCTCAGATATATTCTTAAGTGTGTGCCAGCAAATGATAGCAAGATGATGTAAAGTTTAAATCTGTTAATCATGGTTAAGGCATTAGGAACACTAAGTGAGATAATAAGAAGCTGTAACAGCCCAATAACAGTTGCAAAGAAGTACTAACAATTATAATGACATCTTGATATATCTGCAAAACTATACACATGTAAGCCTATAAATATATTTAATGTATTAAATGTTTTTAAAACATATCTTACGGCACGTGGATATGAGCATTGGGACAGGTCGTTCTTTTTTGAGATAGTATGATCCCAAGACTCAGGCAGCAGACATGCTGTTATTCTGCATTCTACCTTCCCCACAAAAAGAGGTTTCTTAAAAAGTCACTTCCCAGTCTGTGTCTACTGTCATTCTTTGCTATAAACTGTGTGGGGCACAAGTTACCCCTTGTAGTATCTGTGAAATATTCAGCAATTTCATCCACCACCTCTGGGCAGTGCTGCAATAAACACAAGTAATATTTACCCAGTTCAATCCATGTTATTTTACCTTTATCCCCTTAAAGTAAACACACAGCTTAATTCCTATCTAGTGTGTCTTTGTGCACACAGAATATAACAGTAAAGAAACTTAAAAATGAACACATATTTCATTAGTGTAACTGCAGTGAGTAGGAGCCTGTGCAAATAAGGTAAAATGCTCTGCAAAAGTGGTATGGAGTGCAGAAAGATCAGCCTGTGCTTATGGCACTTTGCTCACCTGTATTACTTCCATGATATGCATACACTCGGTTACTTCTGTAATATTTGAACTGAGAGTTTACACACATGTAAATATTTCTTCAACAACGGAAAACATAGAAGAGAAATATTCACATAATGCTATCGTCTATTGACTCACCATGCTAATGCCTGACACGGTGGTTTTAGAGGCAGCACTGAGCACGTGCAGAAAAATAAAAAGATGGATGATGTTTGCACACTAAACAGTGTGAATAACATGATATCAATATTAATCTATCCCTTACAAAATCTTAAGACCTTTCTATTTAATAAGATCCTGCACAACAATATAATCTGTACTTTTCCAAATTAGCCACAAACCATCTGGTCTCTCTCCAATTACTTGATTTTTTTTTTCTACATCTCTAAATGTTACTGACCTAAAAAGGATTTGATCAAAGGCTGCTGGAATCCTAACCCCTCCAGCAGCTATTAAATTGGTCCACTCTGTCCTGCGCTGACAAATCATTATACTCCAGAGTCTTACAATCCGTGATAGTATCTCAATTAGAGATAAAGACGAAGCAACAGTGTCCCAAATTCATCCATCCATCTAAAAATGACTTTATTCTCTAAAAATGTGAAAAATCTATGTGCAAGGGTTGCTCTGAAAGCAATGCCTCCTACTTTATTATGTTGGCCCACGATGTCAGAGGCAGATGTTGGTGGTATCGCAGTGCACGTTGAATCTTCCCACCTATATTCCATTTCATTTTGTTACCATGCAACAGATGGCAGCAGAGGGGCAGCTGGACAGAACGACGTC